GCCCTCTGAAGGCATCTGCCCTTTCCCAGCACGCTTGCTGGCTGCCTGAGCAGCCACAGATCCACATGGCCTCAGCGGCTGCGCTTGTGATCTTACTGGGTGATCCCGGCTGTGCCCACATGTACCCACCTCCCAATCCCGCAGCTTCCTTTCAGAAGGGGGCTCGCTGGCAGCCCCTTCCTGGCCCCCTTCTGCCTCTCAGATGCTCCCGCCCTCCCTAAGTCTTCCTCCTCACCTCCATTGTTCCTTAGAATACATTCCTCGATTTTCAGGAACACGAACGTGGCATATCCAACATCTGACAGGTTAGAAGCTACATTACTTCTCCTACACCATGAGGACCCTGGAAACCAAAATCTACAGATTCGCAGGCAGGTCCCTGCCACAAACCGCGGCAGCCAGGTTGGCAGTGCGTGCCCCTGATCCCAGCACTTGGGAGGCTGAAGCAGGAGGATCGCTCCAACTCCCGAGGTCAGTGTAGGCTTCACGGCAAGTCCAAAGCCAACCTGAAGCACATGTCTGTCTTGAAAAAAATGACACACAACCTACACCCCCACCTACACTTCTCAAACTGCCTCTAGATCACTATCATGCAAAATGTTAACTCTGTAAAGTTATTCCATTGTATGGATTGCTTAGGGAATAACAAAAAGTGCTGCATAGGTTCTGAAGGTTTTAATATCCTTACCACAGCTGATTGACTCAAAACCCAGACAACAGACTGACTGGATACAGACGGGTCACACGACCTTGTGTACTTAGGAGCAATCTGCACAGTATATGGTAGTGAACACTACAACATGATTCAATAACCTGCATGGACACACGCACAGCGTGGAAAGGAATCAACACTGAACCAAGGTCAGTGCTGCAGGAGCCAGCAGACAGCAGCGAGGGCTGTGGTAGGCTCTGCTTCTGCAGGGTTTCTCTCCAGAAGTATTTTGAGTTTTTGGGGTTTTTTTTTTTTTTTAATTTTAGTGAGAAAGATTGCTCAGCGAATTAAAGCGCCTGCAAGCAGGTTCAGAGGTGGGGTGGGGGGATTCCCAGGCCTGCTGTGCCTGGCCCCACCCACAGGGCGCGCTGAGACTGCAGCTGGGACGGGGTGGTGGCGTGCGCCTGTGATCCCAGCACTTGGGAGGCTGTAAACAGGCGGATCACTAGGAGTCTGATCTACTAGTGAGACCCTGGACACCCTGTGGACCCTTCCCTAAAGTACAAATAAGTAAATAAATAATTTTAATGAGAAAGAAATAGCAATGGGACAGTTTCAAAACAGGTTAATAGGACAGTTTCAATAATTAATACATTGGATATTGTTTTTGTAGTAGTTATTCAGAGGACAAGACGCAGACATATCTTGTCTAAACACTATTAGTACAAATCTTTCTTCTCATTGAACTAAGAGAAAGTAGCTGTGTATCTATCCTTACTATTTTATATATATACATATATATATTTTCTTTTTCACTGTGGTCCTTCATTTACATCCCCTTTTTTGTTTTGTCAGAGATGGGTGCTCCATTGCCATTCAAATACTGTAGCTGCTTGAATTCAGCAAAATAACCCAACATAGCCCAACAGTCCATAATAGTAGTGGGTTTTCAGCAGAACTGGCAATGCCAGAAGTTGTTGACTTGAGCCTTTTTCTTTTTTCTCAGACCAAGATAAAGCAAGACCTCCATAACTAAAAGTGTAACTTTAGTATCTGACGAGGCCTCTCCAGTTCTGCTCGGCTCCTTTCAACCCTGCTGCCTGCTTCCTGCACAGCGCTGCTTTCTCCCGTATCTCCCGTTCTGACTGCGCCTTCTGTGTCCCCACCTGCGTCCTAGCGAGGGGATGTGGTGTGCTCTGTGTCACTCTCCCAGGTGGCTGCACAGCCAGGGGCCCCACGAGGCTCCAGAGAGCTTTCCCAGCCCACTCGGGGCAGCATCTCCGCCAGGGCTGCACTGCAGGCTGCAGCCTCCCGCAAGGCTAGCCACACACCAAGGGCCGCCCGGGCTGGGCTCCGAGCAGGCGGAAGGCTCTCTGGGGCTTCTGCAGGGTTCTTTCACATTAAGAGACTCCCCCAGAGTCTTCAAGGCAGAGACACCACCCTGCGTCTCCTCCTGAGTCAGCTGAATTTTCCCACTGTGTGTGGCCTAACTAGGGTCACTGGGGCCCTGATCCCGCTCCTCGGCCTGCAGGCTCGGCTTTGTTTCTGTAGCGCTGTGTCCCTCAAGACGCAGGGCCTGGCACAGATGCCAAGAAACCTGATGCCCTGGCCAGTCAGTAGGCGGGAGCCACCCTCCTGCTCATGGTACAAGGCCAGTGTTTATGAGGAGATCTCGTCTATTTTTATTATGTGTAGGTATTGCAAGAGGATTTTTAAATTCTTGACTACAATTTTGGAAATAATACCTTAGTATTTTAATAAATGAACTCAGTTTCACTTAGATAATTAAAATTAATAAACACACCATATGCATATGTGGGAAGACTTCTCTATGAGCCTGGAGGAGGACGCGACTTCCCAATGATTCTGAAAGGCAGGGAGGACAAGAGCAGCAAGCGGGGGGGGGGTCTGCCTGGCAGCCTCTGAGAGGACATCAGGGTTCCCCAGGGCCACCCGGGCCATCTCCCAGCTGTCTCAGGAAGGAAGAACTGGGTCACCACAGGGGTGTTCGCATCTGATCAGTTAGCTCACCCGAAAGTTAGAGTGGAGTAGGCACAGGCTGCGGCCCAGACCAGCCGGCCCAGCAGGCAGCAGCGTCTCATCCCCAACAAACTGAAGCAGTCGGATCTTCAACAGACTCAAACCCCAAAAGCCAGCTACACCTGGAAGCTGTCTCTGAGAAGTCATTTCCTAAGGGACCTCAGTACCAGCAATGAAGCTACTCGCCATAAGCAATTTACGCACCACGACCTATGAATTTAAAAAAAAAAAAAAAAGGACAAGCAAGAACCATCCCGGCCTACCAGCTCACCAAAGGCAAATCCAAGAGTCAATGACAAGAACATTAAATCTGAAATAGCTTCTCGTGACTATACAGATGCCAACCGAAATGCAGGAGATGCGTGGTGACTCCAGAGCCGACGCGGATGAGGTCAGGCAAACTAGTAGAACCATGACCACCCAGCACAGGGAGAAACGGATCACAGGTTCAAACACATAACCAGGAGATCAAAATTCCACTGTGTACGCAGCTGAGCAGGGCCTGGCGGAGCACAGCTGTAATCCCAGCCCTCAGGAGGGTGGGGCAGGAGGATCGCTGTGCGTCCCAGACCAGGCCGGGCTAAGAGCGAGCTCACCGCCAGCCTGGGCTGCAGAGACCCTGTCTTTAAAAAAAAAAAAAAACACGCACCACAGTATGAGCCAATGTGAGGGTGGAAGACAGCTGAGAAGACAGGTCTGCACTTGACGATCGTGGAATGAAAGATTTCTTTAAAAGAGCAAGAAAAAATTAAGCCAATTGGGCTGGACAGAGCTCAGCAGAGTAAGTACCTGCCTGGCAAGTGCAAGGTCCCAAGTTCAATTCCCAGGACCACAAAAAAAAAAAAAAAAAAAATTAAGCCAACTACTCCCAGGTATATGCAAAGAATATCAAAAGATTAATCAGAGCCAATAAAAAGAAAAAGCCAGATAGCATAAATGACATTTTAAAAAGCCTATTTACAGAAATGACACAACACTTCCCAAGACACACACACACAAATATGGCATACTAAGTGAGGCACGTAGACCTCCAGTCAGCGATGATGAAAACTCCACAGGAAGGCACACAATAGTCAAGATTCTCGAAATTCAACACAAGGGCCGGCCAGACAGCTCAGCAGACTAAGGATTCGATCCCCTGCATGTGGTGCCGGCCCCGCCCCGGGGTGCTCTGAGAGGTGTCTGAGACTGGGCGTGGTGGCCCAGCACTTGGGGGGCAAAAACAGGAGGATCACTACGAGTCCAATCTGTGTAGCGAGACCCTGTAGACCCTGCACTAAATACATTAATCATAATCCATACGAGTGGTTAAGAGAAAAGCAGCCGACCTCCTGGAAGGGACGCCTCCAGGACCTCCGCAGAGTCCTCCACATCAGCGCTGCAGTCTTGGACAGCTCTGAGCCAAGTATTTCAAGTCCTAGAAGAATGCACCATTCTTGTTTTCTCTTTCCTGGTCCCTCTTGAGCTCCTTCTGACTTGGCCTGCCAGGGGACTGAGCCCACAGGCATGGCCCTTCTTTATCTGTTTCACTCCTTTCAGCTTTCGAATCCCAGTCCAAGGGCCGAGGACCCAGTTCAGTGGCACAGCGCTTGCCTAGCACGCACAAGGCCCCAGGTTCAAATCCTAGTACCACACTCCCCGCAATCCAACCCCAATTCTATTCTCACTTCCTCGACGCTAAGCCAAGCCCCGCCTGGAGTGTGCAAAGCACTCCTTACCCGAGTCACAGTATGCAGTAACTCCTCTTATGAAACGTGGTTACTGGGAAATGCAAATCCAGTCACGGAGCCACGTGCCCATCATAATGGTTGCCATTGCAACAGAACAAGGAGGAGCCC